TCTCGTGCCTTCTCCACCTTGCTGCCCCCAAATGTGTTTGGACATGTCCCATCATCCCCAGCTGTGGATGGGGAGAAATTAAATCTAACACACCTGGGGGACACAGATTGAAATCTGTTGCTTAGGCCCAATATTATATACGCTTCTCCACCTCTCTTTATTATCTTTATCCTCAAATGAGAGACATTCCTTAGAAGGCATTTAGTATTTGTAGTTTGGAGATTCACATACGACATAGTAACATGTGAGATGGTTAAGTGATACCTTTGGAAATCTGGTATTATTCGGGTGGAGGGGAGAGAATATAACTGTCTAGAAGTGGGAAAAGACTTTTGATTCTTTATCCCCCCAGGGAGAGAAAAGAAAAGGAAAAGGAATCCAGCTCCATGTTTAAACCTCACTCCAACTGCAGCTATCGCATCTAAACAGGACGCTTTTCTTCCTCATTTCAAGTTTTGTAATGCCCAGCTTGATGAAGAATTCTGAAGGCTGCAAAAGTTTGTCTTTTTAATTATATTTCAGTTACTATGTAATGAAGGTTTTATCCAGTTCTAATGCTGAGATAGAATCTGGACTTTTAAGATTTTTGATGAATCCTTGGATAATTGTTTTACTTGTAACTGTAAAGTATGCATCATATGTCTGTAGCTATAGAATCATAGAATCATAGAATTATAGAATAAATTCTATAGTTGGAAGGGGCCTATAAGGCCATCAAGTCCAATGTAGGAATCCAAATCAAAGCAGATATGATAGCTGGTTGTCCAATTTGCTCTTGAATGCCTCCAGGGTTGGAGTGCTCTCCGCCTCCCAAGGTAATTGATTCCATTGCCATGCTGCTTTAACAACTAAGAGGTTTTTCTTGATATTCAGCCTAAATCTGGCTTCCTATAGAGCAGTGGTCCCCAACCTTGGGCCTCCACATGTTCTTGGACTTCAACTCCCAGATATCCTGGCCAGCAGAGGTGGTGGTGAAGGCTTCTGGGAGCTGTAGTCTAAGAACATCTGGAAGCCCAATGTTGGGGACCACTGCTATAGAGGATAGTGTTTGTTTTTGGAAGCTAAGCTTGGTCAGGCCTGGTGAATACTTAAGTCAGAGACCACAAGTTAATGCCAAAGATCTCTGGCTAGAAGAATCATGCCTGAAATTCTCTGGAGATTTGCTGCTGGTGAGAGCTGGCAATACTGGACTAGAAGAAGCAATGACCTGTCTCATGATAGGGCATGTATCTATGATAAATAGATGACATGATTTACATATCATGTGGTCTGCAAGAGCAAAAGTATTGTGCCATACCTTGGAAAAAGAACTGCACTATGCTTATGTACAAGCTACTTTTTAAACATAATAAACATCACTATTTTCAACAGATATTAATCTCATACATAATATAATCACTTATGTGGGGGAGTGGTCTACAAGAGCAAAAGTATTGTGCCATACCTTGGAAAAAGAACTGCACTATGCTTATGTACAAGCTACTTTTTAAACATAATAAACATCACTATTTTCAACAGATATTAATCTCATACATAATATAATCAGACTAAGTGTTAGACTTGAATTGAGAAATGGTTACTAGGAATCATAAAATCATCTCCTAGTTATTTATCTGTTTATCTGTGCATTTGTGTCTCTTGTCTGCCCTGAATCTACTGCTAAACATTCCACTGGAACCATAATCCCAGTGAGTACCACAGTATAAGAAGAGTACCAACAAGTTGCAATGTGACCAGAGGAGGGCAACAAGATGGTAACCATTCTAGAAACTAAGCTGTATGAAGAATGGTTGAGGGATCCAGGATTATTTAGCCTGGAGAAAAGAAGAGTGAGAAGTAGCTGGATATTCACTTCAGATATGTGTGGGGATCTCATGGAAAATGAAGCAAGTTTCTTTTGTGTTGCTCCAGGGCTAGCACTTGAACTTAGTGCTCATACTAGATGGGAGATTCTGACATTGTAGTCCAAAAAAGTAACTTTTTCAAGTTCAGAGTGAAGCAGCAGTGTAGAAAAGATTGGTAAGTTTCTAAGTGATAAGCCAATTACTCAGAAATACTCTGCTGATATTTATTGTTCCACCTACTGAGGGGAGTGAAAGAATCCTATCTCTGCAGCTCGACTCATCAGCGGGACCAGTCACCCCCATTAGTGCATATGCACCAACACTGTCATCCACAACAGAAGTCAAAGACAAATTCTATGATGATCTGGCAGTTACTATAAAAAAAACCCTGAGAAAGAGTCACTGTTTATTATCTGAGACTTTAATGCTAGAGCTGGTGCTGATCACAATTCTTGGCCCACTTGTCTAGGCCATTTTGGCATTGGGAAGATGAACGAAAGTGGCCAATACTTGCTGGAGTTTTGCTGTTATTATGATATCTGCATCAGCAACACGTTCTTTAATATGAAGCTTCAACACAGAGTTGGCTCAGGCATGTTGTGAGAATGGCTGACAGTCAGATTCTAAAAGATCTCCTGTAAGGGGGAATTAATGCAGGGAAAGCACCCCAGAGGGAGACCACAGCTGTGATACAAGGATATCTGCAAATGGGATCTGAAGGCCTTAGGAATGGACCTCAACAGATGGGAAACGTTGACATCTGAGTGTTCAGACTGAAGGCAGGCGGTGCAGCATGGCCTCTCCCATTTTGAAGAGATACTTGTTCAGCAGGCCAAGGCAAAGAGACAGTCCGAAAACCAGCAAAATCAAGGAGCTGGACAGGGGATAGATTGTACTGGTCTTCAGTGTCGAAGGGATTGTCACTCTCGAATTGGCCTTCTCAGCTACACTAGACGCTGTTCCAAGACCTCTATTCAGAGCATGTTACCATAGTCTCTCGAGACTGAAGGATGCCTACTATTCATAAGCCAACATCCTTTATCTCTGTAAAGACCTAGTCAGACCCAATGTATTTTAGTCTGTAAAGGAACTGGCAAGCAGAACCAGAATAGTTGACCAAGAGGGTCAAGCTTGGACTGAGGGCCAACTCTCCCCTATATTTTCAAGACACACACTGAATATGGGGAAGATTTTCTTTTATCTAAGGGATAGGAAAAAGCAAAATTAAAGAGAAAAAAGTACTTTGGAAAATAGTACGAATAAGTCAAAAACCAGAACCATTTGCATTAATGACAACAGGAAAAATGATAAAGTATAGCTAGCCTGCTCTACATATTTACATGTATGAACCTCACAGTAGCAGTAGACAGACTCCTGAACTGCAACTCTAACTGACATAAGGACACGTCCTTCCTCTGGTCTTCTTATTTTAACTCTTAGTAGTGATGAATAAGCCAATCCAAACACAGATTCATCAACCCCTTCTGGGATACTCAAGAACATGCACAACTCTGTAAGAAGGCAGCTGAAATTGACTTACAAGTAAGCTTTCTCTCCATCTTGGCTGATAGTCAAACTGACTTTGGCCAGCACTCCACAAGATAATGCAAGTGCTCTTCTCATTGGAACTATCTTTCTCTTTCTGACACCAACTCACCCCTTCCCAGCAGCAAGGCCTCAAACCCAAGATGGAACCAGTTTGATCCAGAACTTCTTCACAAAAAAAGTGACCACACATTCTTCTGGAGTGATCTACTGGAAGACAGATAACTGTTCCTTCACTGAGGTAAAATGTCTCTGCCAGTACTGCATACTGGCAGCAAGTGCCAGGTTTAATATAGAAATGGAAAGAATCTGATTCTCATCACAGATATATTAGGATAAAACCCATAATTTAAGGGCATGCTTTTCTCTCATCTATAGAATAGCAACACACATGTACCTTTGCCTTATTTTTCAGATCAATATTCATTTTCATACTTGAATCCACCACACACACACCCTGCAACTTTTATTAACAACACAGCTAAGTGGAAGTATGCCAGTGCCAGCCTTTGTTTCCATCCAGGCATTTCTTAAACTTTCTCTCAAGGTACCATGGGGACGATAATATCAGCAAGACACAGAAATGCTGTTTGAAAAGACCTGTCTTCCAGATTCAGCAAGAACGTTTTAAAAGGCTGAAAAGAAATATGAACTTCCTGATGATGATGATGATGATGATGATGATGATGATGATGATGATGATGATGATGATGATGATGATGATGATGATGATGATGATGATGATGATGATGATGATGAAGACGTTATTTTCAGCATGTCAAATATGAAATCAAATAAAGGTTAACTACTATGGCTCTTTAATGCTATGAATTTCTCACTGTCTCCAGTCCTCAGAAGACACAAAATAATATGGGGAGGGGAAAATTGATGGTCCTTTCCATGGCCTGTTGAACTCCACACATATTTTGTGGGTTTGGGAAGGGGATTTGATGTGTGAATCATTGCAGTGTGTCATTCCTATACACATTCAGACTGGCTGTCATTGTGCTGAATTCTTCTCACCAACAGTTTTGTTGACACTTAAATCCACATTGAAAGGGAAAGCCAAGCAAATTCATCACAAGTCTTGATGATTCACTTTGTGGGCTTTTTAAAACTCACCAATCATCATTCCTGTATAAATTAAAGGGAGGGGGGGGAAGGAAAACTCTAAATTCAAAAATGAGATATGATTTTTCACTCAGTAACAAAAGAAACCCCTCAAAAAAACACAACTCAATTGTTTCAGAGATTAATAACATATTCATCTCGACACAGGTTTTCTGTTTCCCACTGAGTTGTATTAAATAGCAAATCCATCTGTATGATAAAAAAAAAGAATTATTTTCTTCTTCTCTTTTTAATCCCCTCAGTGTGCCACCTTCATTCCACACCCTGCTTGTCTTGACTGCTACAGTTGTAACTATGGCTGTGTCCTAATTTTAAAAAAATGTCTAAAATATTACCATAACCTCAGAAACATGAGTAAAAGGCCCTTATTAGAATTCGGGACCTACAGCTGGAACCTTCAGCTCTGGGTGGGAGATAAAGTTTACTATTGTTAGCCCACAAGTAGCTCAGACTTCCTGGCAACTGAAATGAATTACTCACCTCCTTTATGCTGGGCTTCAGAAACAGTTCACTGTTTTGCAACAAAAAAGGCATTCAGGCAGGGAAAGATGGCCTCCCCAGGCTCTGAAAAGCTAGCTTTAAGACAGTGAATGGACACTGGAGCCTCCCGAGCGAATGACCACTGTGGGAAAGGGGAATTATGTCAGTGCAAATGCATTTCCAGCTATTTTGTTCCACTTTTCATTGCTCCCTCTCCCCCCATCTTTTTTCCCCCCTCTCCTTCTCTTCACTCCCTTCCTGTTCTTTAAAGGCCCTTAAAAAAAAGTTTAGATGGACTCAAATCAACACCAATGGCTCATTTTCACATTATTGCCATGGCAACACACACACTTGTTTTTGCTCCCCCCCCCAACAAAAAGGGAACAAGCCAAAGAAGAAGAAAGCCTGAAAGAGAAAAAGAACAAGAGTTTGGCACAGTTACTTGGAACTGGAACTGAGCAAAGCCAAGAGTGTCAGGAATGAAACTGGCAGCAGGATTTTTTTAAAAAAAAATTATTTTTCTGGTGGGAGAATTCTGAGGCTACCTTTTGAAACAAATGTGTAATCCTTTATACCTTTGAAAGACTGAAGGCCCACTGAGGAACTGGAATCATGCCTTTTCAAAAGCAACAAAATGGTGGTTTCAGAAATGAGACCCATTCTAGTTTGTGGAAAAGCTTATGGAGCCTGCTCTGTGTTCAAATACTACTACCAATGTTACTGGCAATGAACAGGATCGATACATTGACTACTAATTGAAGGCAGAAGAAACTGAGATTGCTGTCACTCACCCCTCAAGTTTAGGATGCTCTTGGAGATATCTGACACTATGATGGTATCTTTCTAGGTTTTGCCACATTCTCGGGACACCATTAATGTGTTACGAGGGGGTCCTGAAAGGTATTGAGCCTTACCCAGAAAAAACTGAGCTACGAAGCTGTAACTGCCACAGTATTCTACATATTCCCTCAGGAAGTCAACACACTTGTGACATCTGCCCTACAGCTTCTTAAGTCCCTGCAAATAAAATTCTTCCAACTGCTGGTATAACCACTCATTCGAAGCATTAGTTGCCTCCAGAACACTCCCAAATCGTTGTCTCTTTAGGTGGTTTTTGAGTTTGGGGAACAGATAATAGTCAGAAGGAGCCAAGTCGGGAGAATAGGGTGGATGGGGCATCACTTGAAAGCCTAAGGAGTTCAGTTTTGTCATTGTATCACCTGCAGTGTGTGATGAGGTGTTGTCATGCAACAGGGTGACACCTTTTGAGAGCTTTCCTTGATGTTTTTCCTTGATGTTTGCCTCAACTTCATCAATAAAGCACAGTAGTATTTTACATTGATGGTTGAACCTTGTTTGGACCTGAACATGAAAGATAAGTTAAAATCATAGGTAGTTGGTATTTGCACCATTGAATACAGACAAATTGGCCAATACACCCTACAATTTATAGCTTTATAGCTCAATTTTTTTCTGAGTAAGGCTCAATACTTGTCAGCACCCCCTAATATGAGGTCTCTCTACAACACTGGCTGGACACTCTCCACAGTGAACTGAAAAGAACTATTCATCCTCCTTACCTCATGTAAATGATTGCTGGACTTCCCACCCATTCAAAATAATCCTCATATTTATTTCTCATCACTGTTTCTGTAAACATTAGCAGCTCCAGCAAACCCATTCAACAAAGCTGAAACATGCCACTTCTATACAAATGTATGTTGTTTTCAAGATTATGATGTTTGAGCTGAATGGACACATCAGATTACATGGCAAACTAATACAAAAGGGCTATGCTTTCCTCAAAGTGTGTGTATGTGCGTGTGTGCATGCGTGCATGCGTGCATCCGTGCGTGCGTGCGTGCGTGCATGTGTGTGTGTGTGTGTGTGTGTGTGTGTGTGTATTCCCAGCATTGTTTTCTTTTCCAGAGAATCTTGCCTTCTCATGATGTGCCCAAACTGCAAATAGCTCGGGCTTGATTTGATCAAGGACCCACATGTTCATCTTTCTGGCACTCCAGGGTATCTCCAAAGCTCTCTTCCAGTACCACATTTCAAAATAATTGATTTCCCCTCCCCTTCAGCTTTCTTAACTGTCCAGCTTTCACACCCATACATGGTGGTTGGAAATACAAGAGTGGATTTTCTTGGTCTTGATCTCCAGTGACACATTCTTACACTTGATTACCTTTTCTAGTTCCTTCATTGCTGCCCTTCCTAGTCCCTGTCTTAGTCTGATTTCCTGGCTGCAGTCTTCATTTGGATTGAAGTGAGGCATTAAAAAGGGTATACAAAATCTCTGTTTGTTCAACTGCAGTCCTGCTTTAGCACTTCCTTCTTTCACTTTTACCAGAGTTTGTTTGAAGACATTGCTGCTTTCTGCCAAGTAAGATGGTGCCATTTGCATATCTTAAATTATTGAAGTTTCTTCTCCACAATCCTTGGGCGCCCCAAAATGATAACACAAAGAGCAGCAGGTGACAGGGTTATGACAATTTGACCAAGAATGAGATTTTTTAAAGGCCTGTGGCAAATGTTGTTGCTCAGTGCAAAATCTAGGCATGTCAAGTCTCTTGATGCCTGTCTTAGGGAATTGTTTTATATATCTGGTCCTCAGCCAGGGAGACAAATCTCAGGTTGAGCAATGCCAGAGGAGAAGGTGTGTTGAGAGAGGTCGCTTTAAAGGATGCAATGAATGTTTCTTTTACTTCCAACCAGGATTGCACAGAAACATGGTACTAGTATCCTGTGAATGTGGCAAAACCTGGGAAGGTAAGCATCACAGCCTCAAAAATCTCATCGCTCATCATAGACTTGAGGGGTGATTGACATCACTATCAATTCCTTGTGCCCTTAATCAGTAGTCAATATGTAACTCTCACTTCTACCTATTACCAGCAGTAGCCATGTTAGTCTGTGCTTTTGTTTTGTTAGACTAAACAAGCAAAACAAAAGAGACAAAAATGTTGTGGCACCTTAAAGTCTAGCTGCTATATTTTACTATGAGTTTTGTGGATCTAGTCCACTTTCTTAGACATAAGAGTGAGACTATATGACTGTCATATTTATGCTTGGTCCCATTACCAGGTGGAGACACAGATAATGGACAAAGAGACAATGAAACATTAGTAATGAAATAGGCTATCAGACTGTGAATAATTGCAGTTATCAGTCTACAAGGTTAGAATAGCATGATTGACACAAGTGGCAAACTGTGGGAATCAATATAGGATTTCACACTTGGTAATGACTTAAGAACCCTTGACTGATATTCAATCCTTTCAAGTGGGTTTCTACTAATCATATACGTATACCCTATCTCAGCTATTTCTCTTTTTCAAATCTCAAAGGGTCTCCAGGTAGAGTGAAATGTTCTTTTCGTGTGTTGCTATTCCTGATGTCAGATTTATGTCCATCAGTTCTTTTGCATAGAAATTGTCCTGTTTGTCCTATGTTGAGGTAGAAGGGCACTGTAGAAAAAAGATGGCATATTTCATATTAGCAGAAGCATAAGAAAATACAGCCCTGATGTTGTTTGTGTAGCCAGAATAGACATGGTGGCAGAGATAGCATTTGGGTTAGTAGCAGAGTTTGGTTCCCAGCTCTGTATTAATGTTGTGTAGTCTGTTGTGTGTCAACAGGTGCTTGAAATTGGAATGTTGTCTGTAAACAAGTACAGACCTGCCACCAAGGGTTTGGAAGAATAACTATGCACCATTCTCACTTTGTCCATTATCTGTGTCTATTGTCTTGATCCTTATATAGTCTCACTCTTAAATCTGAGGAAGTAGGCTGCATCTATGAAAGCTGAGATTTCAAGTCTGATTTTTATAGTAGTTAATCTTTAAGCTTCTGCAGTGTTTTCCTCTTTTTCTCCCTCTCCCTCTTTCTCCATCTCTCTTTTCTCTCTCTCTCTCTCTCTCTCTCTCTCTCTCTCTCTCACACACACACACACACACACACACACACACACACACACACACACACACACACACTTTCTGTGGGTGTTTCGTTTTCCAGTCTGATACAGTTACCACCTAGTGTAATCTTCTAAACATAAAAGTGTTTGTCTGTCTGTTTCCTGTACACAGTATTAGCACATCACCAATCTAAGAAGTGAGGGGAGGTCTCGGGAAAAGAGGAAGTAAATGTCCTTGAGTCTGTCATACCATTTGAAGAGTGGAGTATCGGAACTATGATTCATTAGATTTCTTGTTACAGAAGCCGTGCATCAGAGCATAGGTCCTGGAAGAAAATTTCCTAGGGAACTCCTTAAGCAATCAACGTGGTGAAAACAGCAATGGTAGTTAATATGTGGCTTTCTAGACATTGTTACATTGCAGCTCCCAGTATTTCAACTAATTTGATGGGACATGACATCCCAGGACACCTGGAAGCCACATATTCCCCACTCTTGGCATAGGTTCTACAAATGCTCCCCATGTGAAGGTAATGCAATGCAGTTTGTTAAAGCTAGTGGAAATGATAGGTGCTGTTACAGGTTTTAGACACATTTTGCCATCTGTCAAAAATTTGATGTCTGTACCTCAGCTCTGGGTTGCCCTATCACCCAGTATGTTGGGTTTTACCTTGATTCTTACCTGATTGCCTTCATGGCTCTTTCCACAATCTGCTGGTCCAGTTTCCTATTCTAGCCATCTCACAATCCTTGCCTTTGTGACATCACAAGGGGCTATCTCTGAGCCTCAGGTTTTGTTCCTGAAATCCTAAAGAATGGAATACTGCTGACTCAGCAACCTTAGTAGTGTCATTCTTTCTCCTTATTGGGTTTTCTTTTCCATGTAGTCAGGGGGCAACATATTGTGCATATAAATGGTGGCACACACCCATTTCATTATTTTCATTTTAAAAGGGAGTATTGCTTTCTTCAACCAAATGGTGTTTCTTCCTAAGTAAACATGTACAGCAAGGGTAACAAAGTTAACTCATTCTTTTAATCATGGTGGGTCTATGGCTTGTTTAAAACACAAAACTGCATATATTTGGAGTATTTCTTTCTCTTTTATTAGCAGGAGCACGTAAGTAGTTGAAAGGCATGGAATGTCTTACACCATTACACACACACACTTGGAATTTACTACTTCATCACACAATGTAATTCTTTTGGGATGGGAACTGAAGAAGGGAAATGGTGGCTACTACTGGTTCAGAAATAGCTGAAAAAGAAAAGGAGAGAAGCAGAAAAATAAATCCTTGGCCACATATTTTCATTTCAACAGTGTTATTTTAGGCTAAACTGGCATCACTGAGGAAAACAAGTGAGATAAAAATTAACCTTAGCTTCAGTATCACAGTCTTAAATCTCATTAGGAAACCTCCAGAAGGCCCAATATGCTAGTCTAAGAACACAGAAATAATGTGCAGTTTCTGTGGTACAGATCTGAGTGGCGCATGCTTGGATTCAGTCTGTTCTCCCTCTAGTCCACATAGGAGGTAGACAGCTATTGGTTGTGGTGATTCAGGGCTCAGTTCCTGTAGCAACCATAGAAGTGTCAAGCAGAAAATAAAACAGGTATTTCTGGAGATATTTCCTGTTCTCTTTGGTTATGTTCTTTAACATGAACTGCTATCTTGGGGTCAAACTAAACAATATGATTAGCACATGACTCTGAACTAAGCAGTTGCTTGAGGAGGCAGATCCTGGGGGTTACTTGTCCGAGGATAGCCATTCAGTCTGTGGAAAATTGTCACACTGGACAGTTCCCTGTAACCTCAAGAAAGAGGTGGGAAACACAAGACCTATAACTGCCATTCCCCTTTAAGCCAAAGACACGTAGGATAGGAGCGACCAGAAGGAGACTATGATTTAGAAAACGTATGTAATCAAAGTAGAAGAATTTATCTGGACATTTGTAGAATGTGATGTTGTATTCTTGTGTTTATCTTAGTTTCAGGTGGTGAATGAAGTGTGTGACTGCCTTTGTTTTGTATAATAATGTATTTGAATGATATAAGCTTTCTTTTTATATTCATTGCTCTTTGCATCAAAATATTGTCTTCTAATGATGTAAACCACCATCAGCTTTCAGCTTTGTCTTTCAGTAATGTAAGCTGCCTTGGGTCCTTTTTAAGAAGAAAGACGCGGTAAAAATATTTTAAATAAATAAAATAAATAAATAACCCTCTCTCTGATAGTCAGCAGCATCCTCTTAAACTTTCCATACTATATATAAAGGCTCAGGTGATAATTAGAAGTTAATGTTCCTAGGGAGCTTTCTCCCCCCCAGTCAGGACGCATGGACAGCTCAGGAAAGTTATACAAGAGAAATAAAAGCAACCACAGCACCCTCAGGTACGTCACCATAAGCTAAACAAAAGAAAACAAACAAAAACAGCAGAAAACAATTCTAAAGAGCCTTGAGAATGAAGCAAATCAACCACTCCTTTTGTGTGTTTTTCCATCTGTGAATGTCTTGGCCTTCTTTCCCTCCTTGTTCTTACAAGCATGATGTTTATCCTGAATTTTGTCTGCAAGGGTGGTTTCCCATTCTATTGCATTGAATCGTTCTCTTGCTTATTTTCTCCTAGTTTAGTCATCATCAACATCTTACAACCGCAGGGCTGGAGAGGACACTATGGATCACTGAGTCCAACCCCTGTTAAGGAGGCACAATGGAGGACCAAACTCCCAGCCTCTTGTTCCACGGCCAGATACCTAAAGCACTGAGGCATCGAGCAGTTAACTTCATCTTTTAAAATGTTGTTCATGTTTGAAAGAGTATGTGAGAGAAATGAAGATGTGAGGAAACTGTTAAAGACAGCAGTATCTGGTGTATCAGAACATGTCACGAGAGAAAGTCAGAGGTGACCTCCTCCAGTGTAGCAGGGGATTGGGGCAAGAGCTAACAAACACCCTCAGCAGAGCTGCTAATTACTTTCAAATATCTGACCTCAACTAAAGCAAACGTCTAGTTCAGCCTGAGTCTCTCTCACACGCACAATCATTCATTATGTTGCTCATGTTCAAACAGCTTCCAGGGAAGATGACACAGTCCTGAAAGAGGTATTTGCATAATCCCAGTGGAGTCCACAGGGCTTCTGCAGCATTTTGTCATCTTTCATTGCTAGAAGCATCCTCTTTAACAGTTCCCCTCCCTTTCTCATGCAATATGCACATCCAGAAATGCTCCCAGTGGACATTCCTTTCTCCTGCTCCCCACCTCCCATGAAAAGAAATTCATCTGAGCTGGAAAACAACACTCGTCTCTTTTGTTGAAGCCAAAGACATGGCCAACATTGTGCACATTTCTTTTATAGGTAGCCAGGTCTCAAACATCCTCACGGGTGCAATGATGTTTGCTGCAGAATCTGCTTAAGGAATATCTATCCTGTTACATGGTAACATTTTCAGTACTATCCAACGGCTTCCTTATATGTGTGCGTGTGCATGAACGGGTGCAAATGGGTAGTGGAGCAATGGTAAATCTGGATGTGCAAGTGCTCAGCATGACAGTTCCCCTAACCACCTTCCTAAAAGAGAGTCTGAAAATGCAAGCAGATGGATCAGTCCATATAAACAAATGAAGAGCAGGTCTTTTGGAAAGTGAATGGCTTTTAATTCCCCCTCAAGAGGCCAAGTAATTCAATTTTGCATTGCAACAGACATAGCTTGCAACAATACACTGTTCCTGGAAAAATCAATTTCTCTGCTAACACAAGAGTGAAAGAGAAACCTGGGGGTGGTGAGAGATATTATAATAATCCCTGCTTCTTAGAAAGTCCCAATAGGGATAGTCAAAATATCTTTAGGATACTGCAGAGATCTTTTATATTTTACTTTAGGGCCTTAAAGACTGTACACTCAGAACTGTACATTTTTGTGCTGCTGTTTCCTGCCTTGGGCAATAAAGATATCTGGGACTTTGTTCCTGGCCCATTTTGCTTCAAAGAGACACTTACACTATTTCATTATTCCTGCAAGCAACTCCTGCTCTGGCACAATGCTGGTAAATAAAATTCAGCGGTGTACAATTATGTGTTTGGAATTGGTGACATAGAAGCACAATATCCCAGATCCATAAACCAGAGTTTGGGACTGTTTTTTTTAAAAAAGAATTGAATCATATAAATAGATCTGTTTATATAGATCTGTTATATATGTGATTATATATAAACAGATCTATATAAACAGATCTATATGATTCAATTTTAAAAAGTCCCAAACTCTGGTTTATGGATCTGGGATATTGTACTTCTGTGTCATCAATTCAAAACACCAGGACTTGCAATTCGAGCAGAACCTGCATTGCCTGCAGGAAAAAGGATGCCAAGCTTTATGTAGTAAAGGGCAGCTTTAATGTTGACATCAATGGCAGCAATCAGAATGGTCAACAGGATACCTTCTTGTGCTCAGTACCACTCACAAAGTAACACAAAGAAAAATCCCAGAAGCTGACTCCTATTTTTCATCAGTTAATCACTTCTCATCCAAACACAAATCAATTGTCAGGGCAGTTTTTTGACAGAGCTGAATGGTAGTGATCAAGTCTGAACTCTCGCTAGAACAAGAATGAGCAAACTGAGTATCCTACCATGTACATACATAAAATGAAAATACAGAACTTATTGGAAAAGAAAACATTGCTGAGAAAAAGGTGGAGGGTGCAGTAGGAGAGGAAGACCTGACATAAGACAAATCATCTCAATAAAGGAATCCACAGCTGTTAGTTTTCAAGATAGTTTTCAACCACAGCTGTTAGTTTTCAAGACCTGAGCAGAACTTACTGGAAAATTCAATATCACAATGAAGGGAGTCAGTAGGAACAGTATTTCACGGCTTAAATGTGTGAGCTTCTGAATATTTGTTCTCTATTCTTTTTAAATATTCTTTTAAAAAGAACAGAGGTGTAAAAACACATCAAAACACAGAATACTTTTGCAAACACAAGTCTCTGTTTGGCTAGGAAGGAGTTAAACATTCAGTTGGGTCCTGACTGGCAAATTCAAAAGTTCAGATTGCTCCAGACCTGGAGTTGTTCACCTTTGAAAATGTGAGTTCAGAGCTTGGTCACTAAAATCCTGAGATAATGCTTACTGAAAGCCCTCAGGGCAGGGACAAACACAACTGTGCTGTAGTTTGATAATGCAGAAATACTTTGAATGTACCTTACAAAATTGTATGCTAATACTTTGGTGATATATGGCAAAATGTTCCCCTTTCTGGACAACTGCAACTCCATTGCTTTATTTAAAGCAAACCCATTTTTGACTCCTTAATAGCTCTGAACTTTTGTTGGCCTGAAAATCTCCCTTGCCTCTATGATATAATCTTCCTTGCAAGCCTGTACCATGCATGCTCAGTTTACAATGAAGTCAACTTTTGAATTTTTTCCTTTTTGAAAGGCTTCTTTTGAGAATCAATATTTCAGCCCATGTAATCTGTATTCTTAAAAAAGAAAATTAAAAAATGGTAATGCTAATCATTCTCTTTCAATATAAGCAAGACTGGTCTTTTCTATTTAAATTAGCTATTTTAAATTTGCAGACATTTAGGATCATCAATTTCTGAATGTGGGGGAGGGAGGTAAACAGTGTTACTTTTAAAAAACCATAACTTGAAAACCCCTTTGCCCATACTTCCCCAAATTTGGCACAAAGCAAGAGAAGACTGGTATATCTGTGCCAAATCTGATGCTGTTTCAAAGTTAA